GTCAATCAACAGCAAGAATTGTTTTGAGACATGAGGTGATTGCAAATAATCATGTATATAAACTGATAGGACTGCCCCATTGGTAGAGGGAGAGTACCGACTCTTCTGAGAGACGTGCTATTGTATTGCCTCTCGCTTTCCCTCTCCTCGCAGCAAGTATTTGAATAAACTATATTTCTGAGCTAACTCTGTTTGTGAGTGTTCGTTTATTCCTAGCTACAGCGACTACATCCTGGGTTCGACAGTGGGAGTGGGGGCCCAGGTGTGTCCTCACTCTAACTCTACATCTTATATTGTAGCCTCAACTGCAGTCCAACAATTCATATTAGAACATGGGACCTTCTAGTTTCCATGGCCCAGTGTTGCATTGAGCATTGGCCACTAGACTATAGACAGAGAGAGAAAGAGAGAGAGAGTGAGAGAGGTAGGCACATCATTACAGTGCTGTGTAAAAATAGCACCTCTCTTTCTCCCCCAACAAAGTGACGACATGAAGTCGTGCAGTCTTTACTCTATTTATTAGGCTCTTTAACCTTTAACTTCAGGCATTGATTTGGGTCACTGAGGTCTCACATCACTAATGGCCTGGGTCAACTCTCTGGAAATTATTATTTATTGTTTACTTCCTCTCTGCTCTCGGGATCAAGGCAGAAATCTAAAGCTACAATGAAGTTAATAGCTGCACGGGAGTGATCGCCTGAGCCAATAGTTAAGCTTAACAGCTGTACCTTTTCCGCGGAATCCGCTTCAAACTCCCTCCTCGGCTACAAACCCGCTATCAGTGAGTGAGTGTGTATGATTGCCTGTGTGTCTCTGTGTGAGAGAATGTATGATTGTCTTTCTATGTGTTTGGGTGTGTCTGTGTGTGTGTGTCTCCTCTCTGTTTGTGGGTGTGTGTGTGTGTCTCCTCTCTGTTTGTGGGTGTGTGTCTGTGTCTCCTCTCTGTTTGTGGGTGTGCCTGTTTGTGAGTGTCTCTATGTGAGCTGTGTGAGTGTGTGTCTCTCTCTGAAAATGTGTCTCTGTGTCTGTCTCTCTGAGTTTGTGTATCTCTCTGTCTATGAGTGTGTCCCTGTGTGTGTGTGTGTGTGTGTCTCTCTCTGGGTCTGTGTGCGATGCGGGGACCTGAGATATCCTGTAGCCTCACTGGTGTTACCCGCCCTCCCCACAAAAAAAAGCCACCCAATTTTTGTTAAAGCAATTCATAATGTTTTTGCAACAATCTAATGTGTTATTTCCTCATGTTTAGTTATTATCAATAAAGTGAAACAATGTAAGTTGGCAGAAAGATGTACCTCAATAGCACCAATCAACTCCTCGCCATTTTCTGCAAAAACAGTCAAACATTTCCCTGTAACTTTCCAATCTCCCCGCAATTTGGGGGCAGATATTTCCACACTTTTCTATTGGCCCAGGTGATCGCCCATCCTCTGGCCTGTGACGGCCTTGTGGTGTGAGTGCAGCCACTGACTGTACTTCAGCTTTCAGCTGTTCATTGTGGGAAGGTGTTTGGCTTATCTCATCCCAGCAGTGGTTCGAGACGTCTCAAAGCACCTCACAGAATACACTGTAAAGCGAGTTGACTGTGTATTCGTGGGCGAAACACTGCAATACAAGGCCATGGAGAGGAGATTAAGGAGTAACTAATTGAGGTATAAGGGATCAACAAGGTAGATGGAGAATGTAGCTTTCCAATAGGGGAAATCCAGAACAGGAGGCGATAATGTTCAATTTAAGCTTAACTGGTTAAAAATGACCCCAAGAAGCATTTAATCACAAGGCCTGAATATGATTGGTACATTTGTCAAATGTCATTTGCTCAAGAGCAAAGATCAGGAAAGGAAGGCATCACTCTACTCTCAAATTGGTGGGGCTTTGGGGAGCATACTATCAAGAGGCTGTTAGCATATAACGGAGCCAGAGAGACACCCACCCACTCTCAGAATACACTGGGAGAAAAAAATTAAGACTTTAATTCCCATCACAATTTAGAAAGCCCACTACGTGGAGAACCTGGAATGGCTAATCCTTCAATGTGTTTCTATGGATTAAATGAATAACTTCAAAGCTTTTTCGTGAGCTACTCATCTGATGACTGGAAGGCATTTAATCTGCTTAAGGAAAAGACCCTTTTGGACGGACCTTGTTCGTCTGTCACTACCCGAAGTCCAGAGAAGGAACTTGCTAAACATCTGTCGTTCTGTTTCAACTGCCGAGCTATTCTGAAAACCCATTCAGATAATCCCACTACAGAACAGAAAGTGGTAACTGTCTGTACTTGGGACATGGAATAATGCCTTTGAATACTGGAGCCATTTCATTCCAGTTTCTAAAGTCGCAGGTTCTGCTCAGAATTGAATCAGTGAATGGTTTGGTGAATAAGTGAATAAAACTCAGTATTTTTTTTTGCAGTCAAAGGGTCGGTGGAAACCGATTCAATAACAACTTTCAAAAGGGAATCGGCGAGGAACCTGAAGCAGAAAAAATTGTAAGGATATTGGGGAAAGAGCGGGGGAGTGGGACTGATTGGGTCGCTCTTCCAAAGAGCCAGCACAGGCACGATGGACCAAATGACCTTCTTCTGCGCTGCAATATTCTATGACTCTCTGAAAACTTGGGAGTAATCAAAACGACTTCATGTTTTTGCAGCAGCATCAACCAAAGTGATTTGCAGCTGAAATTTCTGCTCAGAATATCAATCAAAAGACATATCCATTTACTGGGGCAACGTGGAGCCGAATTGCTCACAATTCTCTGTGATTGTGATCAGTGAATTCAAGTGCAGACCAGCTCGTGTGAGAGACCAGTGTTGCTTTTGAGACCATGTTGTGATGACCGCTGGAGTTTGGGCATACACTTCAGTCCTTCATTTCTATATGAATTGTCAGTCGCTGTATGAATCAATCAATATATGCAGATGGCACATTACATTTTTAATCCCTCGATCCCTATTTAAACTGATTTAAATCAAATAATTCAACCTAAGCTTTGGTATCCACTATTGGAATTAACAAGTATGTAGAACACCATATTACGGTGGTTCAGAGAACTTCCTTCCATACTTCCGTACCTCATATCCAGCCCAGTTTGATGCATGTAAATACACTCTCCATCGAGACAAGTAGTTCGACATTCTCAGTTCACATCCCAGTGACCACAAGCCAGCAGCCAATTGCACACAGCAGGGTCCCATAAACAGCTATAGAGTGAGTGACCAGTTTTATTTGGGGGGAACTGTTGGCCAGGACACGAGAGAGAGAGAAACTCCCTTCTCTGTTGAATAGTGCCAAGGGATCCTTAACTTCTCATCCAAAGCCCGGCACGGTCCAACAATGCAACACCCTCCCAGCACTGCATTATTCATAGATTCATAGAATGTTACAGCACAGAAAGAGGCCATTCAGCCCATCGAGTCTGTGCGTCTCTTTGACAGAGCAAGTCCCTTTCACTAACCCCAATCACCAGCTTTCTCCCCATAGCCCTGCAAACCCGTCTTCCCCAGATACCTATTAGAGCATCATCTTAGACTATTTGATTCCATGTCTCAACTTAATAATAATAATCCTTGCATTTGATATAGCGCTTTTCACGTCGGGAGGACGTCCCAAAGCGCTTCACAGAACACACTGTAAAGTGAATTGACTGTATATTTGTGGGCGAACGCGGCAGCCAATTGCGCACAGCAATGTCCCACAAACAGTCGTAGATTGAAAATGACCAATTTATTATTGTTTTGGGTTTTGGAGGGATTATTATTAGGCTCTGTGTGGAGTAAGGAAACTTGCCCAAGGTTTCGCCCTCTGCCTGGAATTGAACTCAGGTCTCTCACTTGCAAAGCGAGTGCTCTAACCACTGAGCTACAGGACTCCACACAACTTGGGGCTTGATCCCATAAACCTTCCGACTCAGAGGCGAGAGCACTACCACCACATCAGCTGACACAGCCGTAGATTAGTGGAAAGATGCTTACATATCAAATCCCCGCCCACCAACAGCTCTAAAACCAAAGGCCGCACTGAATGTGCATTGCAACAACCACTAGATAATGTGAATTCAGGGACCCAGTGACTGTTCACAACCCCACCATGTGGCCCTAACCCAAGTGCTTTGCTGAAGTGTTCACAGCACAGGGCGAACACTTCGCAAGCAAGGATGTGCTTTCGAGTTTACTTCTATGCAGCTAATCAAATACGACTTCTCAGCCAAAGTAAAACGACTGAATTACTTGGTAAGAAGCAGACAGTAACTCACACCAAGCTGCGTTCCCATTCCCCTCAGCACCTATTGGCCTCACTGAGATATATTCAATGAGAATGAGAAAAGAGGCCCTTGGGATCAGACCTCGCCACGACTTAAATCAAGCTCAAAGGCACATTGGAACTTTCACTTTGCTGAAGTCATTATTTCAAGCGAAAGCTTTGCTCGTTTCCAAGTGCACAGTTTTACCTCCAATGCCTCCTCCGGCCATTTCAAATTCCAATTTCTTTACCAAAGAAAAATTTGAATCTTAAACCCAAGTGTGGTGTCTCCTGTCCAAGCTCATACCATACAGCCATGCTCTTCATACAATAATAATAATCATCCTCGCATTTGATATAGTGCCTTGAGACGTCTCAAAGCGCTTCAACAACAACATTTGCACAGCATCTTTCATGTCAGGAGGACGTCCCAAGGCGCTGCACAACACAAAATATATTGTAAAGTGTATTGACTGCGTATTTTGTGGGCAAAATGAAATGCGGCAGCCAATATCCCACAGGAGTGTCCCACAAATAGTCATGGTTTGAGTGACCCAATTTTTTTGTGTGGGATTATTACTCCCAGAAAATGATCCGCCAATCAACTAACAACTGGGTTCCTACTTACTGCGAGGTACACAGAGGTGTGTGGAGTACAGAAACTTGCGTAAGGTTTTACCCTTCCCAGGAATTGAACCCAGGTCCTCCTGCTTGCGAGGCGAGCGCCCCAATCACCCCACTACGGGACTCCGCATTGGTACTCACCTCGTCCGATTCATCAGACAGGGTTTTCAGTAACATGGGGAAGAGGCTGTCAGTGTGGCGAAACATCTGAAACACAAAGAACAAAGGGATTTAAGCAACAACAACAACAACTTGCATTTATTTAGCACCCTTCATGCGGGGCAGCGTCCCGGAGCGCCTGACAATGGCGGACCATAAGTAGGTGACCGTAAGCACAGTCAAAAAGGACGCAGGATTTGTAAGTGGGGGCAAGGCGGAGGCATTCTGAGACATCCTCCCCTTGTGAAAGGCACTATATAAATCGCACTGCAAATTACATTCTTCACCAGAAACGTATTCAAAAGAAGCCCTTGTGCTCATCAAGGCGCCCACACAATTAGTTCAGTTTTTGGACTAGTTCAGGGACTGGATCAATTCGGGTTTATCAGTGAAAGTGTTAAAGGGGAGGTCAGGCAACTTTATAAACACAAGAGGGTTGTTAGAACGTGGAATGCTTTGTCAGATGTGGTCACTGAAACTAAAAGAGAGGGAGAGGGGGAGAGAGCACAACTACATTTAAAATGGAATTAGATAAGTGTAAAGAGAATGGATATGAAAGCATATGAGGGAAAGATTTAAAGCTCCGGTGGAAAAGCTGGCACCAGCGTACGTTTTAATGGACTGAATGGCTTCCTTATGTTCTGTAGTTTCTATAATTTTGTGATATGCAGTCTGCCTGCTCTCTCACTAATGGCTTTTTGAAAAGCGAGATTTTCTATACAAAGCGCTGGTTTAACGGCAATAAAATAGAGTTGCACTATTGAAAGACTAATTTCCAGGGATAACAATCCCTTCAAAAAAAAATATTTGGTCACTTAATCCACGACTGTTTATGGGACGCTGCTGTGTGCAATTGGCTGCCGCGTTTCACCCACAAAATGTACAGTTAATTCACTTCACAGTATATTCTGTGAAGGGCTTTCTGACGTCTAGAAGACGTGAAAAGGCACTAAGTAAATGTATTATTATAAGTCGTAAAGAAAATGTTGATTCACACGTTGAACCATTCACAGCGCAGTGCCAGCACCAGCAGATCAATCACACAGCACACTATGAGCGAGTCCTGGTGCGTGGCTGAACCCACAACCTGGTGACCCAAAGGCAAGCGTCCTTACTAACCAAGCCAAGCTGCTCCTGAGCTCAATCACTAAAGAAACAAGTTTCTCACAAAACTGCAGCAGTAACGAGCTCACACAATCCTTAAGAGAGGAATTCAGAGAGCTGGCCCATTTGGTTTTATTTTTAGAAATACAATTTCTGCAAACAGCAGTGGGCAGAGACACAATTTCCTCGAACAGTTGGCTAGGCGGGATCTTTAAGACAGCTAAAGAGCACACGGAAAGGGGGGGAGCAGCGAGCTGAGGAGGTTTAACCTACCTCAGCTAACAAAACCCTAACAGGTTACGACAGCGGAGCACGGAATCCGGCAGAGTAGACGTCAGTGAAAGTCAAACTGAGAAACATTCTGCTGCCCTGCGGTAGGCAATTTGGGGCCACAGTTATTCTGAATTGAGAAACTAATTCAACGCTTAAAATTGAATTCCAAAATTCTGTGCAGAGTCATAAATTGAGTAACCAAATTATCATTATTATATTTTTTGTTGGCCTCAGGATGCTAAAATACAGGTGCACAAAGATGCCTTTCACCACAGAAGGAGGCTATTCGCCACCTTCGTGTCTGTAATAACAATAATCCTCGCATTTGATATAAGGCCTTATCACATCTTTGAGACGTCTTAAAGCGCTTCACAGAATGTAAAGTGGATTGACTGTATTTTGTGGGCGAAAAGCATCAGCCAATTGCACAGCAGTGTCCCACAAACTGCTGGGCAAAATTTGTGACAGATATGCTTCTTTTTTGTGGATTGAGTGACCAAATTTTTTTTGAGGAATTATTACCCCAGGAAAGCAATCGACTAACAACCAGGTCCCTACTTATTATTGGATAAACAGCCATCTGTACCCCTTGTATCTGTACCCCTGTGAGCTGTTTGTCTGTCACTTTTGATTACTATTCCCACATTCCAGCTCTCGCCACATCCCTTAAGGCTGTTACTGCTCAAGTGATTATCCAGTTCCCTTTTGGATGATTCTATTGATTCAGCCCCAGGAGTTTATCAATAAGCACGTTATTTGTGGCCCTGGGGAGAACGAGACAATAACTAGCGGTTAGGAGCACGTGGCAGACCTGGTTCCAATCAGAGACGAGTTACTGTCTGCCATTCCACTGCAGCTCAAGTGGTTTGTGACTGCGTTAAAAGCCTTAGTGGAAAGATTGGAGAAGCTCCGAGTCCCTGAAGGTTCAATAATGAACCTTGCTGCAATTACACTGGCCTCAGGAGCCAGGGCTGTAAGTCAGGCTGCTCAGACAGTGGCTGCTGAAGGTTGCGTGCGGTCTGATTCTTTCAATTAGAAAGTGCGGGGGTCACATCTAGCTCAGGACAACAACAGCAAATTGCATTTACACAGCGCCCCTCGTGCAGGGTAGTGTCCCAGAGTGCTTGACAGTGACAGAGCCTAACGCCGAGCCTGGGGGATGTGACCGACAGGCTTGAGGAGCTGAATGGCCTCCTCCTGTTTCTATGTTTGTATGATGGCTCTTCTAAAGAGCAATCCCTTCAGTTCCAGTTAGCTGCCTTTTTCCCAGATGCCAGTAGAGAGTCCCCTTTTTAGATATCTATCTAAAGACTGGGGCCGAACACTGAAATACAACGATACACCTAGGTCAGGGACTCCTGCCTGCCTGCCCTCTGTGATCTCCCTCCTACCCATGTACATCCACGAGTGTTGTGGACTGCAATTCATACTGCTCCGGACACTCTCATAATAATCCCTTGCATTTGATAAAGCAAATCAACATGTCGTCAAAATGTCTCAAAAGTGCTTCATGGGAAATGCTGTAAAGTGTGTATTTTGCGGGCGAATGCAGCAGCCAATTTGTATACAGCAACGTCTCGTAGTGTAAAGTGTGGTGACTGTGTGTTTTGTAGGCGAGTGTGACAGCCAATTTTTGCACAGCCATTGCCCACAAACAGCCATGGAGTGAGTGACCAATTTTTTTTGAGGGATTGTTGGCCAGGACACCAGGAGAGAGAAACTCCCTTCTCTGTTCGAATATCTTTGACATCCACCTGAACAGGCAGACGGGACCTTGGTTTAACATCTCATCCGAAGGATGGCATCTCCAACAATGCAACACCCCTCCCAGCACTGCATTGGAGCGGCAGCTTAGACTATGTGATTCCAAGTTCCGACGTAGGGCTTGAACCCATAAATTTCTGACTCAGAGATAAGAGAGAGCGCTACCACTGAACCAGGCTGACACACTCATTGGGAGAGGAAGATACTGGTCAGAAACTGGGGGTCAGCTTACAAAGTGCAACTGAAATAGTGATGGGCCTTTTTGATGTTATGAATGGAGATCGCTGCAATAAATCAGTTACAAAACCTGGAGCTGTGGACAACAAAGAGAAATCCATTACAACAGCGGATTAAAACAGTCCACTTCATTGCGAGAATCTCCCATCAGTCAGAATAAAAGCTACTGGTAATCAGTCCTCCCTCTGGGAGAAAATAACCTTTATTGATCATCCAACATAAAGCTTCTGGGATCAATAGCGTTGTCCGAATAAGCTGATGAAGTCCCAGGGCTCAGTTATTATTTTTAAAAGGCCAGTGTCAGGCTGTTACTGTCAGCAAGAGCCAATATGAAGCAGGTTATTGATCAGCCTCATTAAATAATAATAATAATCCTTGCGTTTGATATAGCACATTATCACATCTTTCAGCCGTCTCAAAGCGCTTCACAGAATATACTGTAGACTGAATTGACTGTATATTTTGATGGCGAAACCGACCGTTTGTGGGACGCTGCTGTGTGCAATTGGCTGCCGCGTTTCACCCAAAAAATATACAGTCAATTCACTTTACAGTATATTTGGTGAAGCGCTTTGAGACGTTAAAAGGCACTATATCAAATGCAAGGATTAGTATTCTTATTAAATTCAGCCTCCCCATACAGCTCTGCAGTGTGTGTGTGTGTGTGTGCGTGGGGAGGGGAGGAGGGGAGGGGAGGTAGAGTCTCTTACCTTTCTGGGAGTTTTGATGTAAAGGTGGTAGAGCCATTTGAGGACCGAGATCCTTGTCATCATCCCGGTGACGGTGTCGTGGAGGTGACGATCCAACACCAGCACAATGCCATCCAGGTCTAGCACCACCTGGGAACGATTTATCCTGTGTGAGAAAGCACCGGGTTTACTATTAAACAGGAGGAGGCGAGGGGCGAGAACCAAACTCCAAATGGTGTGGACAATTTTACAGCAGATTATTTGACAGCAGATCTCAAACGACAGATTACATTTCTAAAGCACCTTTCATGTCAGGAGGACGTTCCACAGGCACTCTATTTGCACCTGAGCTGGGGGTAGGGATCAGGAGGGGTGGAAGGTAGGATAGTAGAACCAAAGGCACAGATGAAGAGAAAGGTCTTGAGATGGGCTTTTGAAAGAGGTAAGGGAGGGAGCGAGGCAGGGGGACTGTGGGATGGAGTTTCAATGGGTAGGGGAAGAGAGGCTGAAGGCCAGACCGGCGATGGTGGGGTGGGTTGGGCGGTGGACGTGGAAGAAAACAGGATTCTTTCCACGTTGGAGAGAATAGTCGCTCCTCGGGAAAGCGGCAATGCAAACTACTTGCTGACTCCAGAAAACATAACCTGTAATAGTAATCCTTGCATTTGATATCACGCCTTATCACGTCATCGAGACGTCTCGAAGCACTTCACAGGACTTACTGTAAAGTAGTTTGAATACATGAGAATGTACTTTATGGGGGAAACGTGGCAGCCAATTGCGCACACCAATGACTCAGAAACAGCCATGGAGTGAGTGACCAATTTTATTCAGGGGATTGTTGGTCAGGACACTGGGAGAGAGAAACTCCCTTCTTCTTCTGAATGGTGTCGCGGGATCTTTAACGTCAACCTGAACAGGCAGACTTGACCTCGGTTTAACGTCTCATCCGAAGAACGGCACCTCCAACAATGCAACACCCACCCCACCCCCAGCAGATGTACACATTAAAAACCCTCTTCAATCCATGAATCCATAAGAATCTATGCAATGGAAACAGCACCAGTGACTGATACTCTTGTGCAGGGTATGAATGTGTCTGTACTGCTGCACTGACGAGCAGTAAAGTGGTGCAGATGCTGGGACTCTAATCTGCAGTCAGCTGACCTGATGGCTTATGCTGAGGTTTCACACAGCAAATGGACCTGGGATTTGGAAAGATTACAAGTGGTTTCAGCTCCGTGATGAACGTCTGACCTACTTGGAACGATGCACAAAACAGAGTCAGAGAAAGAAAATCGGCACTGATTTGACATTAAGCCTTGCACGGAGGGACATTTATTCATTTGCCACTGTAGCGCGACTGAAACCTCAGCTTAGATTTGCAGCCTTTGCAACAGTGCACAAAACCAGGCTCCCTCTAAACAGGAAATCCACCTCTGCTCTCCTCCCGCATGTCATTCACCTCCATCACAACCGGCCCTGTCTGTCTTCAGATTACAGTCAATGTTATAATCAATCCCACAATGCCACCCACTGAGCCCGGCTGACATGCATTCTCAAGTAGGAGTATCACACAGTCAGATCATATCCAACTTGAGGCTTAGGGGAAAGAGAAGGAATTCTCCCAAAGGGTAGACAACAAGCTAACTGTTCCCCCTTGTAGCCCATTTCCCTCGGGGAAAGTGGGGACAGAAAGTATTTCAAGAGAACAAACAAGCCAGTGAAGATCCGGGTGGTGGAGGGTGTCTAGATTTTGAAGCTTCAGTGACAATGATATATAAATAACAAACAGCTAAAGATAATTTTCTCTGTAGGTTACAGGAGGATTTGAACATACTTGGGAATTGGGCAGATCGGTGGCAGATGAAATTCAATGTGGAGGAATGTAAAGTACTTCACATGGGGACAAAAATCCAAGAAGGGACTATTAGAAGGAAAATGATATGTACGGAAAATGAAAAGGACCTGGGGGTCCTCATTGACAATAAGTTGAAGCTCTCCCAACAATGCTCTGTGGCAGTGAGCAAAGCAAACCAGATGTTGGGATGTATCAAAAGATCAATAGCAGCCGAAATAGTGGGTCCTGCCACTGTATAAATAATTGGTGAGACCACATTAGAGTACTGTGTACAATTCTGGTCACTGCAGTACAAAAAAGATATTGGAGAAATCGAGAGGATACAGAGGAGGGCAACCAAAATGATTGAGGGAACGGAGGGATTGGACTATGAGGAGCAACTAAATTGGGCATGTTCACACTGGAAAAGAGAAGATTGAATGGTGATTTGATTGCTGTCTTTAAGACTCTAAAGGGGTAAAACAATATAGATTATGACAGGCTGTTTCAACTTGTCCAGAATAGTAAAACCAGAGGACGGCCTGCGATTGAAGAGGGTAAGTTCAGAACAAATCTACACCAACACTATTTCAGTGAGTGAATAGTGAACATGTGGAACAGGCTCCCGAGGGAGACGGTTGAAGCAAGAAATGTTGATTGCTTCAAACACAGATCTTTTTGGAAATAACATTATGGGATATAGTACATAGGGAGTTCGGGACATATGTATATGTGACCACCAGGAAGGTGAAAGGTGAAGAAGATAAGCCTTGGTCTTTCTTTTGTCTAGCATTTCTTATCTACTGTGGGGGTTCTTCCATTCAGTCCATCGTGTCTGTGTCGGCTCTTTGAAAAGAGCTTCCAATTCAACCCCACTCCCCCGCTCTCTCCCCATAGCCCTGATCAACCCCACTCCCCCGCTCTCTCCCCATAGCCCTGATCAACCCCACTCCCCCGCTCTCTCCCCATAGCTCTGCAAGCTTGTTCTCCCCATATAATTATCTACTTCTCTTTTAGAAGTTGTTATCAAATCGGTTCCCACCGGCCTTTCAGGCAATGCATTCCAGATCCCAACAACTCGCTGTGTGAAAACATTTCTCCTCCCCTCCCCTCTGTTTCTTTTAACAACTACTTTAAATCGGTGCCCTCGGGTTACCGACCCACCGCCAGTGGGAATAGTTTCTCCTTGTTCACCCTATCGAATCCCTCATGGTTTTGAAAACTTCTATTAAGTCTCCTCTTAACCTCTTCTGCCCCAAAGAGAATAATCCCGGCTTCTCTACCTCTCCTGATAACTGAAAGTCCCTCATTCCTGGTAAATCTCATTTGCACCCACTCCAATGCCTTGACACCCCTCCTAAAGTGTGGGGCCCAGAACTGAACACAGTCTCTCGCTGAGGCCTAACCAGTGTTTTACAGGTTCATCATAACTTCCTGACTTGTGTACTCTATGCCACTATTTATAAAGCCCAGTATCCCGTATGCTTTTTTAACAGCTTTATCTGCCTGTCCGGCCACCTTCAAAGATTTCCTTATATGACCCCCAGGTCTCTCTGTTCCTTCAGCCCTTTAAGATTGTACCATCAGCTTATATTGCCTCTCCTCATTCTTCCTCACAAAATGCATAATTTTCTCCACATTAAACTTCATCTGCCCTGTGTCTGCCCATGTTACCAGTCTGTCTATGTCCATTTGCAGTCTGTTACTATCCTCCTCACTGTTTACTACTTTTCCAGCTTAGCATCATCTGCAAACTTGGAAACTGTCCTCCCTGTACCCAAGTCCAGGTCATTTATATAGATCACAAACAGCAGTGGCCCCAATACCGACCCCGGGGGGAACACCACTGCCCACTTCCCTCCAGTCAGAAAAACAACCGTTCACCACCACTCTCTGCTTTCTGTCTCCCAGACAGTTCTGTATCCGCTGCCACTGTCCCTTTAATACTGTGAGCTTCAATTTTATTACAAGTCTCTTATGTGGCACTTTATCAAACGCCTTTTGAAAATCCATATAAATGACATCAACTGCACTATCTTCATCCACTCTCTCCGTTACTTCATCAAAAACCTGTCAGGTTTGTTAGACATGATTTGCGTTTAACAAACCCGTGTTGGTTGTCCTTTATTAACCCATATTTTTCTAAGTGAAAATTTATTTTGTCCCGGATTATCATCTCTAGAAGTTTCCCCACTACTGACGTTAGACTGACTGGCCTGTAGTTCCCGGGTTCATCCTTCTGCCCTTTTTGTACAGGGGAATAACATTTGCAACTCTCCAGTTCTCTGGCACCACCGCGGTGCCCAAGGAGGATTGAAAGATTGAGGCCGGAGCCTCCATTATTTCCACCCTTACTTCCCTCAGCAACTGGGATGCCTCCCCTCCGGACCAGGTGACTTATCTACTTTGAGCACCAACAACCTTTTTGGTATCTCCTCTCAGTTTATTCGTATCCAATTTCTCTCCCCTCTTCTCCGATACTGTGGCATTGGCTGCATCCTCTTCTTTTGTGAAGACAGATGCAAAGTCCTCATTCAGTACGTCAGCCGTGCCCTGTGCCTCCACAAGAAGATTTCCTCTTTGGTCCCTAATTGGACCCACCTTTGACTAACCTTTCATTCTTTATACGCTTATAAATTAATTACCTTAGGGTTCTGTTTTATGTTACCCGCTAATCTTTTCTCATACAATCTCTTTGCCTCTTTTATTTCATTTTTCTGTTCACCTCTGTACTTTTTATATTCTATTTGATTATCTTCTGTATTTTGGATCTGACATTTATCATAAACCAACTTGTTTGTTAGACATGATTTTGTTTGCTAGACACGACAAGCAGAAAGATCCAATCGTGGCCTGTGGTCTGTCTCTTTGCTCTCACAGGCCCTAGCATTATCTACCATTAAACCTGACAAGGCATAAATCACCTGAAACTACCACCTGGCAATAAACCAACCTTTTGTCAAAATGTAACAACCGATTATAGTTTGTTGATGGCGGGGAGAGTGAGGGCAGCCTGTACTCACAGCCTCGCTCTGTAAAGCATTAGACCTCATACTGAGGGGAGAATGGCAACTAGAGGACAGAGAAACAAAGGGGGAGGAAAAGGTCAAATCAATCTCCCATCTTCAGCAAATGTCAATGTGCACTCAGTGGGCACCTCAGATGCCAACATCCAGTGGCAGTGTTCGAGTCGGGGAGGTGTGTGTATTGTAGAATCGGAACAGTACAGCACAGAAGGAGGCCATTCGGCCCATCGTGCCTGTACCGGATCTTTGGAAAAGCTACCAAATCAGTCCCACTCCCCCGCTCTTTCCCCATGTCTTTGCAAGTTTTCCTTTTCAAGTCCCTATCTAATTTATTTTATTGTTATTGAATCTGTTTCCACCGAACCTTTCAGGCCGTGCATTCCGGACGGTAACAACTCTCTGCGTAACAACAATTCTTCTCATCTCCCTTCTGGTTCTTTTGCCAATTATCTTGAATCTCTATATATTATTTGATCCGTTCGCTGTACTGTCACCCGTTTGTGACGGTCTCTAGTCTGGTTCCTGAGCCAGGCCGGTCCGCAGTATTCCAGGACACTCACTGCTGATGACAGCACAGCACAGCCTGGCTCATCGTCAAGATTTGGAAGGGCAGACCAGTCACTGGGGGCAGGGAATCCTCCCACTTAGCTCCTGTTAATCCTGCAGCCAAAGCCCAAATGGGTAGGGTGGTCCTAGCTGGACAAGCAGTGGGAAAGCTTGTCAGACAGTGCTCTGCAAATCCAACTCTTTGGTATATTTACAAGGTTCAACACTGACTCGTTCACTAAGTACTTGTACATGATTTTGATTCCTTCAGATCTTGGGGTCAAACTTTTATACTCTGGAACACATTTGGTTCCTTAATTAATGAGGTTAAAATGATAATCCTTGCACTTAATATCACTCCAGTAACATCAAATGAACTCAAAGTGCCTCACAGGCAATTGCTGTGAAGAATAGCAACTGTATTGGGAGGTAAACTCAGCAGCCGAGATGCACACAGCAAACAGCCCACAAACAGCCACAGAGTGAGAGACCAATTTTATCTGGGGGTTTGTTGACCCTAACACTGGGAGAGAGAATCACCCTTCTGTGTTTGAATAGTGCCATGGGATCTTCAACGTTCCCCCTAAACAGACAGACGGGATATTGGTTTATCCGAAGGACGGCACAATCGTTGTTCTGAAGTAGCACTGGGGGACGGGAGGGACAAAAGCAAGTGTCTCTCAAGTCAGTCAAGCCCGATGTGTGCTGCGTGAAGATGAACAACAAGCCCCAGTGAGCTGAGTGGAGTGGGTTGAGGGAACTGTCGGAGAGATACAGGAGGGAGTGAATGGATTTGTAGGCAAGGGCCTTGGAATCGATCCTCTGGAAGATGGTTAGATGCGGAGGAGAAGGGAGGACTGGGGTGGTGGGTGTGAGCGTGTTACATGATTGGTATGAAAGCCTCCTGTGGGTTGGTAATGCAATAAGAAGTTTGTTCCAATCACGGAGCGGTAAACGCAACTTTAAAAGACGGTGACAGGAAGTTGGCTACTCACGTGACGATCACACTGGCGTTGCTGCTGGAGCTCAGATCTTCCGCATTGTTCGTCAACTCTGGAAAAAGGAACATTTACAATCAGTTTCACAGAATCAATGCTCTCTTACAATCCCCCCCTCCCCTCTCTGCCCCTCCCACAATCCCCCCTCCCCTCTCTGCCCCTCCCACAATCCCCCTCCCCTCTCTGCCCCTCCCACAATCCCCCCTCCCCTCTCTGCCCCTCCCACAATCCCCCCTCCCCTCTCTGCCCCTCCCACAATCCCCCCTCCCCTCTCTGCCCCTCCCACAATCCCCCCTCCCCTCTCTGCCCCTCCCACAATCCCCCCTCCCCTCTCTGCCCCTCCCACAATCCCCTCCTCCCCTCTCTGCCCCTCCCACAATCCCCCCCTCCCCTCTCTGCCCCGCCCACAATCCCCTTCTGAAGTCGGTGGGTGAGTGAAGGGTGTGGCTGGGGTGGGGTTTGGGGAAGTCTCAGAGGTAGGATAGGGCTTTAAGGATGAGGATGACATTGAGTAACGTAGATATTCTCCACACGGCTCATCGCACTGGACCACAATTTATTCCCAGGTCATTTTTACAATCCATCAGGTTTAGCAGAACTCCCTTTTACAGCTATTTCTATAGCCTGTGATTGTGGTTGTGATTATCGGGACACAAGATATTGTGTTTGGTGAAGTGGACCGTTAGATCGTCGATGGAAAAACCTACGTATGACAATATAGTAATAATACTTTGGTCACTCAATTCACGACTGTTTGTGGGACGCTGCTGTGAGCAATTGGCTGCCATGTTTCGTCCACAAAACACAACAGTCACTACACTTTACAGTATATCCTGTGAAGCGCTTTGAGACATCTCGATGACTTGATAAGGCGCTATATCAAATGCGAGGATTATTATTAGACATTGTAAATCAGAAGTGTGGTGGTAGTGCTGAACAAGAAATCCATCACAACAATTCACAGTGACATCCAGTAACCAGAAGTACATCACTCTGACTCTCACGAACCGCACTCTCATGTGATGTCATCCCAGAGCACAGTAAAGACAGATGCCTGATTAAGAATTCCCTTTCAGAAATCCCCAAATTAAACCCCAGTGAGTTGATCCAGAGGTTTATACAATGTATTTCAAAAATCAGATGAGAGGGAGCTGGATTAGAAACTAGGTTAATCTGCTTGGGTTTTGAAATAAATTGAGAAATTTAGGTGAAAGGCCGCAGGCAAGTTGAACAGTCGGACAGAAATCCGCGAGAGTTCTGAAGCAGTGGGTTAAGCAGGCAATTGCAAGGTTTTAATGGGCCGAAGCTTGTAAGCAGGGAAGACTGAAGGACCAAAAGAGTACTACTGTATTGAGGCCTTGGAAAGAATGAGCTAGAGTGGGAGACAGGCGAGTGAGGCTCGATTTCAACACAGTGGAGCGGAAGAAGATGTATTTGAACCTGGCCGAATAAGAGGGCAAAGGGCAGAGGGGTGATGTTTGAGACAGTAATTCAACGGCAAGCTGTGTGCTTTTAGCTGGTTAGACTCCAGCTGTTACCCCAATCCACACTCTGGGGTCCCCAAACCTTGGCTTTTGCCAACCTGCGTCTAATTCTCTCTGGAATTAGGTAAGCAGAGAGAGAGAGAGAGTGTGCATTCCATTCCAACAAACTATCTCTGGGATTTCCATGTGTAGGTGGGATACTTGGAAATCTCAGGTGGTTTGGATCCTCTTAAACGTGGTGATAGGTTTCCGCACATGTTAGACACCGCTGACAACCAAAAAATAGCCTGTATTGTCAATCTAGACTGCGAGATAGCAGTCCGGACATGAGACTTGAACCCACAACCCTCTGACTCAAAGGTGAGAGTGCTACCATCTGAGCTAAAATACCACGACTGTCTCCCTGGTGGGAAAGTCTTGGAAGCAGTTGTTGAGGTGAGGATTGGCTTCTTGGAGGAGCTTTAATAATGGAAGAGATGAGAAGAAGTAAAAGATGGGTTCAGAGAGATTTCAACTCCCACACAAAAAATGTGCTTTTTACACCGAAAAATGTGCCTGGCACAGTGAGGTGAGAGAGTAAACACTCTTGCATCTGAGTCAGAAGGTTGTGGGTTCAAGCCCCACGTCAGGACTTACATAAGAAATAGGAGCAGGAGTAGGCCATTCAGCCCCTTCAGCCTGTCCTGCCATTTAATAAGATCATGGCTGATCTACTGAGCTAATTCCATTTACCCGCCCTATCCCCATATCCCTTAATCCCTTTAGTTTTTAAAAATCTATTGATCTCAGTCTTGAATGTGTTCAATGATTAACTGAGCATCCACAGCCTCTAAAGTAGAAAATTCCACGAATTCACTACCCTCTGAGTGAAGAAATGTTTTCTCAACTCAGTTCTAAAGCACTGATCTTTAATCCTGAGACTATGACCCCTAGTTTTAGATTCTCCAACCAGGGGAAACAGTCTCACACTAACTACCCTTAAGAATCTTATAGGTTTCTATAAGATAACCTCTAATTCTTCTAGATTCTAGAGAATATAGGCCTAGTTTACTCAACTTCTCCTTGTAGGTCAAACCCCCTCATCCCAGGAACCAATCCAGTATGACCTCAGGAGATTGGTACTCTCTGGCAGGTGGAGCTGTATACCCCAGGATTGTGGCTGGTGTTTCGATTACTTCACCACATTGTCTTGATGCTGAAATGCTTAATCTGCCTTTACTCTCCCACCTGACATTTGTATAGCGCCTTTCATAGAAACAGGAGGAGGCCATTCAGCCCCTCAAGCCTGTGCCGCTATTCTATATCTGTCAAAATAACAATAAATTGGTCACTTCAATCCACGTTGGCTGCCACGTTGGCTACCCACAAACACACAGTCAATTCACTTTACAATATATTCTTTGAAGTGCCTTGAGACTTCTCAAAGATATGATAAAGCGCTGTATCAAATGCAAGGATTATTATAAGATCATGGTTGATCTGTACCTCAAGACCAACTTTCACGTCGAAAGGTTTAACAGAGAGGGAGAGAGAGACCCCACAAAGGGGTGATTGCGGTGCTGATACAATAAGTGACCACCGTACAAGAGGGGGCAGAAGAGAAACATTTCAAAAATTAATCACTTCAGTATGCAACTCAAAATTTTTCCCATAAAAAAGGTTCCGCCTTGCACACTGCACAGCCGGAATCTTGTTCCGAGCCACTCCAAGCCTAGATTATTCCAACAGGAAGCAAAATGGGTTGCGAGAAGCTAAGGGCTGCTCACCAATGAAAGCTGCAAGTGACATAGCGGAAAAAACCCAGCATTTCCTTACGTCCGTCCAGTGTTTAGTTCTTGCGGTTGGTCGAGCCACTGATCGCCTGAAGGCTGCTGAGGCAGTCAGGACAGAGATGTGTCTGGTGATCTGCATGTCTTAAGTCTTCAAGCACATCTGTCTGTCTGTTTGTCACTAAGTCGGTGCTACAAGTCACTGCGTGTGCCCAGTAAAATCAGACACCAAGAATGAGCACATTTCTACCTCAAACCCAGACACAGCAACATACGTTTACTCTGCGTGTGAAGCGGTAAAAACATCAATGTACATTTATACACTGTCTCTCACACCAGGAGAATGTCTCAAAGCATTTTTCACAATTGAATGGGATCACAACATTCCTGTGGCTAGAGGTAAAATATGATAATAATAATAATCCTTGCATTTGATATCGTGCTTTATCACATCATTGAGGCGTCTCAAAGCGCTTCACAGAATATACTGTAAAGTGCAGTGACTGTGAATTTTGTGGGCGAAATGCGACAGCCAATTGCGCACAGATAATCACTCTAAGGCTCCTCCACATTGGGGTACTCGATAGCCCAGCGCACAAAACAGGAAGGAGCGAAGAGTTTATAGCAGCTGGGAACAGGCCATTGGAATGGGATCAAGAATTGCAACAGCAGGAATGTCCTAAAGCTCGATCGAAAGCTTCCCCAATCCAAGCGTGGCTGTACATTCCATTCCGGTCAGGAGATCCCACCTCTTTAGCTCCCCCCCCGCCTCGTGACAAACAGGAGGCAACCGCATGTAGCCTTCCTCAAACCACAATACAGCAAAAGCTAAAGGAAGATGGGGAGAGCAGGAAAGTGGGATTCTTTCTTTTCAAAAAGGGCGATTTAGAAAAACTGGTAGCAACAGCACCCAAATAAATGGTAATAACAATAATAATAATCCTTGCATTTGATATAGCGCTTTTCACGTCGGGAGGACGTCCCAAAGCGCTTCACAGAACACACTGTAAAGTGAATTGACTGTATATTTGTGGGCGAACGCGGCAGCCAATTGCGCACAGCAATGTCCCACAAACAGTCGTAGATTGAAAATGACCAATTTATTATTGTTTTTGGTTTTGGAGGGATTATTATTAGGCTCTGTGTGGAGTAAGGAAACTTGCCCAAGGTTTCGCCCTCTGCCTGGAATTGAACTCAGGTCGCTCGCTTGCAAAGCGAGTGCTCTAACCACTGAGCTACAGGACCTATAAATGGTAATAACAATAATAATACTTGCAGCTTAATTGTCCTTCCAACACGAAAACCCAGAAAGAGAAACTGCGTTAGTGAGGTGGGTTAGAACTGTTGTCCTGTGTTTTTGCAATACATTTAAACTAATGCCTTCGCTCGGCAGGTGCTGACCTGCTCCATGTACCCAACCCGCCCCACCATTGGTGGTCGGTCCTTCAGCTTTTCTGCCCCCACCTTCTGGAACTCCAACCCAGAGCCCCTCCACCTCGCCCCCTCCCTTGACTCCTTCAAGGCCCATCTCAAGACCATCCTGTTTGAACGTGCCTTCGGTCAGCCTCCCATCCCCACCTACCCTCCACCCCACTTTATCCCAACCTCCCCGCTTGGGTGAAAAGGCTTAACTATCCAGTGCCTTTGGACATCCTTCCAAAGTGAAAGCCACTATATCAATGTAATTTGTTGTTGCTATTGTTCATTAAATGCTGAATGTTATATTTATAATATATGTTCGGGATAAAGTGTCAGCCTGGCTCAGTCGACAGCACTCTCACCTCTGAGTCAGAAGGTTGTGG